GGTTCTTCAAACCATTCCTAAACAATTTTTGCAGTGAGGCAGCGTGCATTATCCTGTTAAGAGACAACTGCAATCCAGGAACAGCTTTTCCATTTAGGGGTGTACAGTCTCTAGGTAGGTGGTATGTGTCAAAGTAACATCCACATCAATGCCAGGACACAAGGTTTCCCAGCAGAATATTGCCTCCACCGGCCTGCCTTCCCATAGCATTGCATCCTGCTGACATCTTCCCTAGGTAGATTACACACATGCATCAGGTCATTTACCTGATCTAAACGAAAATGTGATTCATCAAACCTGGCATCCTTCTTCTGTTGTCCCTGGTCCAGATCTGGCACTAATGTTCCCAATGAAGGCGGTGGACAGGGGTCATAGTGGACATGGACCGGTCTGTGTAGCTATGCAGCCCCATATGCAGCAAACTGTGATGCACCTTTCTATCATGGCCAGCGTTAAGTTTTAGATCAATTTGACCTACAGTAGCTTTTCAGACCAGACAAGCTAACCTTTGCTCCCCATGTGCATCAATGAGCCTTAAACCCACATGACTGTGATGCTGCTTCACCTTCCTTACACCAATTTTAGTAATTACTAACCAATGCTTATCACTATTATTCACTTCACCTGTCAGTGGTTTAAATGTCGTGGCTGATCAGTGTACTTTCAGACTGCTACATTTACAAATTTGGCACAAAAAAAAAAAAAAAAGGCGAAGAGATAGCTCAATGGTTAAGGTAAACAGCTATAACATCTCAGGTTCAAATCAGCAATTCATATTTTTGATGCATCAAATTGTGTACTATTCTATACCACAGAACATAGCAACTATAATACACATAGTATGAACGTATTTAACCATTAATATCACTAGGAATCTAACCTTGGCTTGAACCACAACAGCAATATTAAAGGGGCACTATGGTCACCAAAACATCTTTAGCTTAATGAAGCAGCTATGGTGTATAGATCATGCCCCTGCAGTCTCACGGCTTAATTCTCTGCCATTTAGGATTTACATGGGTTTGTTTATGCAGCCCTAGGCACAAAATTTCATATTGGAATTTTCACCATCTATTGGATCAACAGCAGAAAGACGCATGAAACGGATTGACAGATTTTTTTCTAAGATTTTTTAATCTAGTCTCTAGGAAAACAATCACTACAGACAGTGTAAACATGACCGCTCCCAGTGTCATTCTATGTTTAACAGAATATGCCATGTTAATCCTCAACATTTCACTTTGACTCCTATTTAAAAAGTTTAAAACAAATTATTAAAAAAAAAAAAAAAAACCTCTGCAATAAATACTTTCATGATAGATATATAGGTATATAGGAAGATAGATAGACAGACAGACAGGTAGGTTGGGTTACTTCCAACACTCACAAGATAACATGGACATTAGCCTGAATGCTCTTCATGATCATCAAGCAATTTGATATCGATAGAGGGAAAGCGTTATTCTGTTGAGATATAAAACAGCTCTTCATATACAAATTAAGATTAATATAAACACGCTTTCTCAAAAACAAATATCAATAAAGGAATACCTAATTACTCTTTTAAATTAACCCACCACATACCAAAACCACTACAGTTAATTGTAGTTATGGTGCCTAGAGGCCATGAGTTCTGTCCTTCCAGTTTTTGTCAATTCATTTTGTGATCTTCTCAATAAAAATGTTTTCACTAGCACCCTAAGTCATCACTTAAGCATTACATACTATAAAATGAGAAAGTTTAAACTTGCCAATATTTGTAGGTCTTAAATGGACACTATACCACCAGAGTAACTAAAGCTTAAAAGGGCACTTTAGGCACCAAAACAACTTTATCTAAGTGAAATTGTTATGGTGCCAGGAGGCCCCTGGACAGAGTCTTACCGTTCTCGAATGGTGCCTGGAGTGTTCCTTTCCTGTATTTGGTCTGGTAAGTATAGTCAGTTCATGCAGGCTTTTTGCCGTAAACACTGTCTTTTCAGAGAACAGGCAGTGTTTACATTACGGCTTAAGAACACTGCTTCCTATTTCAGGGCTGCAAAGTATGCAGCACTAATGTTCGGTGTCCATGATGATGCTGAACACTACCCATAGAGATGCGTTAATTGAACGCAACTCTATATGGAGAAGCTGATTCAAGCACCGCAGCGTTCTATGGGAAAGCATTAGATTGGCTGAGATTGTTAAATTTGACGATCTCAGCTAAAGAAGCGTAGGAGGCTGCTGCCAGCTCTGACAAGACAGGCATGGCACTGCCAATAAGGTCAATAGATTTTATAAGGTCAATAGACCCTTTTAAAGGCAGGCCAGCGGAGCTCAAACAAACAGTACTTTTACAACTATAATGTCAGGAAAACATGTTTGTATTCCTGACACAATAGTGTTCCTCGCTTACACCATGCAATGTGAGGCAGTTTGTTCTGTGCGCTAAGAGTCCACTTTATCATGGCATGATTATTAGGCATGAAAAAGGAAGAAAAAGCAGAACTCTGCTATACAATGTAAGCATATATGTCAATGCATTTTGTATTTTTCCCATATGTGGATATTGATGTCTAGGTGTTGTCTGCATTACTTCTTTTTAAGGTTTGTTGAATAAAGAATTGTTTAAATGGATTCATACGCCCCCGCTAGAAGGGACTAAACGAGCAATCACCCAGAGGGTGATCCAAAGCCAATTTCTACTCCCCCTTCCCCTCTCCCTCCCAACACCCTTACCAACCAACCCACCAGCCATATTGGCCTCATCCAAAACACCTATAGACTACCACATTAGCTACGACTCCCACAATACATCAACTAATGCCTACTTTATCCGCCCGATACTGGAACGGGCACAAGACGACCGCTAACTAGACGAACACACCACCAAGTAAAAGACTGATAACGCTTCTTTTCCACCCTAGAAAAATTGCAATTTAAAACGCATGTTTGATTTTTTGATGTAACCAGTTACACGGGACCTGCGCGTCCTATTTTAAAAAATAGGACATTATAAGTTACGTATTACTGTCTACTATGCTCAATAAAAGCTTTGTTGAAAAGTAAATGTATTCATACGCTTTCCTATGGGGATTTAACAGACACTGGATGTCCTCATGCAGAGCGTGAGGACTTCCAGTGTCAGTTAGGGAACCAAAAGTCTGTTAGCAACCAGCCAATAGAGGCAGTCCTGTAATGTAATTATTGCAGTTTCTCAAACACTGCAGGACTAAGAGGGACTAGGACACTGCACCTACACAACTACAATAAGATGAAGTGGTATGGGTGTCTATAGTGTCCCTTTAATTAGAGACACGTTCATGCAGCGGCCGAGCCCCTTCCCAACCCAGTTTGAGGAGAAAAGGATGAAGGTTTGCTTTGTTCTTTAGCAACAATTCCATTTCATATCAAGCCTGTTTTAAACACTCAACGTGTTCTTTACATGAGATCTTCAGAGTTTTTTTTTACTAAAGTTAGAATTCAAAGTCATTTTCATATTTACGGCCAGAGTAGCTGAACGGACAGCATTGCTGGCTTCAAGACATTTTTCAATTTGAATATTTCAACGTTACGTTTTAAATTCACTTTGAATTCTCTGTTAGTAAATAACCCTGCTTGTGTTAGCCAGTCATTACATATATGCTAAAAACTTCCCTTTTTAACCCACTTTGCCCGTGGGGAATAATCCCTAGTTATGATCTCCTAGCCCAATTCAATGCTTAATAGAGAAGCATTAAGATCATACAGCACATGGGTGTCAATCTCTGGACTCTGCCAACAGAATGCATCTCACACAGAAAAACACAGATGCCATTTCATGTGAGAATCCATCACATTTGCTTTGAGTGAGCACTCAAAGTAAGTGAGAATGAAAACCCTCCTGGGTTTTGAAATTGACAAACCGGAATGTGTAATGTATTACAAATGTAAATATATATTACGTTACAATTACACATTAAGTGTATACATTGTGTAGACTGTGCTTAGTGTTATATACCGCATTAACTCTGATGTCGCGATTGAAGATCACTCCTGCAACAGACAAGAGAAGACACATATGGTCAAGTAAATGTTTATTTAAATCCAATTAACAAAAAAATATCCATCTAATTACTATACATGCTTTCTAAAGATTAGATCTAGACAGCTCAATTGCTTTGAAATCTGCTGTGGTGGTGTTGATCTCAACATATAACGTTTTTAAAATGGGAACAAAGTCAAAGTACCAATACTACTACATCTTAATGTACTGGTTCTGGTCCCTTTTGTGTGACAATGTCAAATATTGCCTTCTCTGAGAAACCAATGCTTACATTTTGCCTAAAACAATCCTATTATGGCTTTCAGAGAAACAACCACTGGAATCACTTTCTGTATAAGACCTTGGATTTTCACAGGTTTCCACACTCAGCATCATTACACATTGCATGATGATATTCAATGCCATGGATTCTTCTCATACAGAAGAAACTGATCCATTGGTGGAGCATGAAATGTCAGACATGCACAGTATATCCCCAACACGTCCTTATGAGAGGCATTGGACTGGACAAAAATCACGAAAACTGACAGTAAGCACCATAACCACTACCTATTGTGTGTACTGGTTATGGAAAGGTTAAAGGATCTTAACATGTATAGCTTGGAGGAAAGACGAGACAGGGGGGATATGAAAGAAACATTTAAATACATAAAGGGAATCAACACAGTAAAGGAGGAGACTATATTTAAAAGAAGAAAAACTACCACAACAAGAGGACAGAGTCTTAAATTAGAGGGACAGAGGTTTAAAAATAATATCAGGAAGTATTACTTTACTGAGAGGGTAGTAGATGCATGGAATAGCCTTCCAGTTGAAGTGGTAGAGGTTAACACAGTAAAGGAGTTTAAGCATGTGTGGGATAGGCACAAGGCTATCCTAACTATACGATAAGGCCAGGGACTAATGAAAGTATTTAGAAAATTGGGCAGACTAGATGGTTCTTATCTGCCATCACATTCTATGTTTCTATGGTGGCAAGAGGCTATGATTGATGTCCTATATTTCTTTTTATAAAACTGACTATTTTCAGCACTCATAGCCTGTCTCCTCTCCAGTTGCATTACAATGAGGAATTTACTCTTCCTCATAGCCAACCAAATCTGCCCAGTTTGGATAGTGCTAATTGGCCATGAATACTGCGAGTGGGCTAACCCAGCACTCTTAGCCTAAGACTGTCATCTATAAGAAATGGAATTGATATTATATTCTGTATTACATCCATGGGCAACAGGCCTGGATTACCCTTTTGGCTCATATTCTACTTTCAAAATCGTACATCAATTTCTGTCTTTAGTTTTAGATGAACTTTTCCTTTTTTTTTTTCTTAGTTCACTAGATGTACACAATGGTTTCAGTGGGCAAAAGAGATAATCTTAATCTGTATAAACCAAAATCTTGGCCTTGAAAAACCACAAACAATAAGGTAAAACCTACAATTAAATAAAACAATGTGTGCTTCAATTTAAAATTGAAAAGTTTCACACATCCACATCATTATCATAAGCCATACTTACATAGAAACATAGAATGTGACGGCAGATAAGAACCATTCGGCCCATCTAGTCTGCCCAATATTTCGAAATACTTTTAATTAGTTCCTGGCCTTATCTTAAGTCTAGGATATCCTTATGCCTACCCCATGCATGCCTAAATTCCCTCACTATGTTAAATGACCACTATGGTGCCAAGAAAACAAACTAGTTTTAATGGCATTATAGTGTTAATAGGTCCTCCCCCCACCCTTATGGCCTCCCTCCCGCCGGGCTCAAGGGGTTAATCACTTACCTTTCTCCATTGCCGGGCTCCCACGGCGCTGTGGACTCTCCTCCCTCTTCTGCTGAATGCGCATGCTATGGACGGCAGCGTCTTCTTACTGTGAAAATCACAGTGAAGCGCCTCTAGCGGCTGTCAGTGAGACAGCCACTAGAGGCTGGATTAACCCAAATGTAAACATAGCAGTTTCTCTGAAACTGCTATGTTTACAGCTGCAGGGTTAACCCTAGATGGACCTGGCACCCAGACCACTTCATTGAGCTGAAGTGGTCTGGGTGCCTATAGTGGTCCTTTAACCCCTTAAGGACCAAACTTCTGGAATAAAAGGGAATCAATAAAGTGTCCTTAAGGGGTTAACCTCTACCACTTCAGCTGGAAGGCTATTCCATGCATCCACTACCCTCTCAGTAAAAAAAATATACATGCCCTGTGTGAGGATCGAACTCACAACCTTCAGATTATGTGACTGACACGCTACCTACTGCACTAACAAGGCAACTTACTTGCTTTTATCAAGTGCTGATGACTTGTGCTCTTTTCAAAGACCTATGTTGTTTATTAGTATGAAGTATACAATATTGGTCATATCTGACACTTCTGAAGATGATAATAAATAATGGCTACTAGTGAGTGAGTGATTGCCGATAACTTTTCCTGATATGCCGTAGCAGGTGAGGTGAGCATGTAATCCCACACAAATTTGTGCATATATACCTCCTGGCACGGATGTGGTTCCCCTTTGCAAGAGCAATTTGGCACTAGCAGGTGTCAGTGAGAAATTGGCTTCTAATAACCTAGATTAAAATAAATAAATAAATAAAGTTAATAGCCCTTAAAATCAGATTTAAAGGATTTTTAATCATGCCTATATACACACACATACATATATACACACACACACACACACATTTGCTCTCACCTGTGCAGAGCACCCTCGTAGGTATAAACCTTTGGTTTCGATGTACCCTCTATATTAATAAAATTCTTGATGTTTTTTTTTAATTTACTCTGAATTAAGTCCTGTGGAAGAGGAAAGAAAAAATGTGAGAACCTGAAAGTACTAAGCAATAAAAAGTTAAGGTGGGGAAAATTTGTGATTGAGAACCCCTTCCACCTGACATCAATGGATAGTCAATACAATGTTAAACAAAGATCTGCACACCAGTCAAGCCATAAGACTTGCTTTTCCCACAGAAATCACAAATCTGCAGTGATGTTTCTACCGCAAAGGATTCTGGGTGAGCATATGCAAATTAGTTCAACAAGGAATCACATTTTTGTCTCATTCCATTTTAAACATGGATTCCTTGGAGCACGCCAGTAACCAACCTCATGCTGATGATTTGCATTAACAATGAAACAGCTGTCCATGAGTGGTTCACTGGCTTTGCATCTTTTCCTAAGTTATGTTTCAAAGCTGTTGTATACAGCAAACACAGACTCCAAGGAATCCATGTCTCAATTAAGATCCCACAGGCATAGCCCCCAGCATTGGCATCCCATGAAATGGTACTCTAGTGAGCTGGGTAAAAAGCAACACGCCAGTGACCCAATTTGCAGAAAATGGCGGGTCCACAAAGAGACCTGGCCGGTCAGCCTGCTCTGAATGTATGCGAGGCTTCCTGCCAATCAAGCAGGCCAGCCAAGGGTGGACAATGCAGGAAGCACTGTTTCAGGGTCCTAGTGCCTTGATCATAGTTCGGGAAAGCCAGACAGAACCCTGAAAAATCGGGACAGTCCTGCTGAAGTCATGAATGTCGGGAGTCATACACAGGGCCTTAGGCAGGATACCAGTTTGGGCACGTGCTTAGCCAAATATCTTCGTTATCCAGGGGCCACTGTGTAACCTCTGGGCCCTAGGCAACCGCACTGTGTCACCTTATGGTAAATCTGGCTATATTGGCTCAATTCACTTGTAGAATTAGAAAGTTATTACATAAATTTTAGAAGGAATTTGTAATAGAAATTGCACTAGAAAATGTAACTTGCAAACGGACTACTGAGATTAAAAGTAAATTAAAGATCTCATGTAATAAAACCCTATTGTTTATTATTTTGTAATGAATGCATGTAAGTGATTACCTCTTTGATCTGCTACCAGCACCTTCTTACCTTTCAAAACAACAATCTGAGCACCACAACCACCACAGCACACTTTAGTGTTAATGGTGCCAGGAAAGCCCATCTCCACTACATTAGTCAGAGAGCCAGTAGTGCTATGTCTGAGCTAAGCCTGGCTAGAGAGAAGAACCCCGATCAAATGGCTAATACCATACAAAAGCACGAGTAGAGACAGGTAATGGAAGTACAGACTATAGACTGCTTCTAATACCATTACCAATACCATTAACAGCAGATTGCAGGTGGCATTCGAACACATGACAGGTACAATAAATAAAGGTGTCTGGTGCCTTCTCTTCACCCACGCTCATCTTTGACCTGTAATCCTCCAACTATTGAACTTTAAAGATAAAAAAACTCATCTCTCACAGAAAATGAGGTACATTTACATACTAACACAAAAAACATGTTGATCTTTCAGGATCAATCAAATCTGGTAATATCAACATGCATTTAGTCAATGCCATTTTGCGAAGTTCTCAATGAAAACAAGATCTGCTTTAAACAGTGCTTTCCAGCCTGTTTTTGGTTAATTCACATTAATTGTCTCTATGTGTTAGAGAATCCACAAGGCTAAGTCAACCCTATCTAATCTTCTGCTAACATAAGCTTTTAGTAGATAATACTAAACCGCCTCTTGATGATGTTTGCTAAATTATTTTTTCCCCTCCCTGGGAACCATGAACATTTTCAATAGATTTTGAATATTATTGGAATTATTATTATTACTTTATAGTCAAGGACCTCCTTCTTTTCCATGAAACGTGTACATTATATTCTCTCCAAGACGGGTATCGTCGAACAACGTAAACACACACACAAAAAAAAAAACACACAACCAAAAAGCTTATAATTTGGAATGTAGATGGCCATAATTAATTACTTTTTCTCCACTTATTAGGGACACTTTACTAGAGATTATTGCTGCAAAGTTTGTCTAACTTACATTTACAGACTGGAGTATCTGAGCTGTGTCGGCAGAAATAAAGGTTCCTAACAAGAGCAAAGCCAATCTATAGGAAACCACAGAAATAGCACCATACATTTACTAGCTGAAGAGTTTTTCGTGGGTAAAAAAAAAAAAAAAGGAATTCGGGCAGGACTCCTGCGCAGAGGAGTGTTCCTTCTGGCCCTATGACATAACTCCCAACATTGGTGCTATGAGATCGGTATGTTTACAGGGCTGTGCGGAGCACAGTCAGTAACGCAAATAGCTTGTCTGTCAAGAACCACAATGGGTGGGCTTGCCCTGAAAAAGGGCAGGTCCATCCACTGAATGGGCTTTGACTGACTGACCCCCAACCCAAAAGGACTTTGCAGAGAGGGCCCATTTCACAGTTTGAGAGTCTAATGACATGCTGTGCCGTCTGAGAATAGTTCCCTGATGTCACTAGATATGGGAGGGACAGGCCACTGAAATTGGGATTCTAATTTTAAAGAGAGGCCTTACCGGGTGTATTGGAAAGAATCCATATGAATCCAGCAGGAAAAGGTGACTGACAGACTCCGGAAAACTTGAAGCAAACTAGGAAAGTAATCAACAAAAAAGCGAGAATATTTATTTATAAATAAGATGATTTTTTTTTTTTATTATTCTTTATTTTATTCGTGCAAATAATTAACAGGCAAGTTTGCTCTGCCACAATAGCTGAAGCAAACCAGATGATACACAGAAAGAAACAACACTATGGCATTGAAAGCATTGCAAATTTTTTGGGTTAAGTGAACAAAATAAACTTATTGTGTCGAAATTAACCTCGCCACTTGTGCCTGGAGAGGACTACTTGCCAGTCTCTTGCCTTTAGACTATGGCCCCATGTTGAAACGCTTGATTTTCCCCTGCAGAGACACGAAAGCTGGGTCATTCGGTGCTTGCCCTGTTTGAGCGGTGATACCCCAGATAACTATGCCGTGGAGCCCATTCGTATAATGAAAGACTTTGGCTCCATGGAAATTGAACTGTATGTGTGTGATCTGAATGCCATTCAGTAATAATGTGCGCTCAGATCTGAGCTATCTGGGGATATGTTGAATGTACCTGTTTTATGCAATGGCTGCACAGTTATATATATTTTTGTGTATTTTATTGTCTTTTGCTGCCATGTGTTCAATGTAGTTTTGCCTCTGTCCTTTGAGATAATTGGATTACTTCCCAATTATCACCAGGATAGAAGACTCTGTGGAACTGGTTTTGGGCAGAAAAGCCATGCTTCATTTGGCCACAAAGGACCTCCGACTAACTTTTGAACTAATGGAAGGATTTACATGATTTTTGTGTAAAAAGTGTATTTTTCCTGCCTGTGATAAATTACAATAACCCATTTTGTTCAGTAATTAGATCACAGGCAGAGAGGAGGGATTGTATGTTGGTGCTGGGTGTGTTTTACGGTTTTCCTGTAAACGATTGGTTGTACTGTGTCCCACCCTGTGAGATGTCCCCTTGCATGGGGACTTGCCTAAAAGCCAGTGTGTGGTCATTAAAATCAGATCATCTTGTACCTTTCTTGAAGCCTTGGCTCATGTTTGGGGAATTGGAGAACTACACTCTGGGGATTGCTATAATCACTATACTCCCCAGGGTATGATCACTAAGCTCTGCTAAGAGCTTGTTCCTGTTCCTGCTATCTGGGGAAAGATAGATTCACCCACTGGAAGCTGGATCCTGGCCTTGGGTCCAGGGTGGGTGGAGACACCGAGACCCCGGCGCAGCTGCATCGCTGGAAGTGGGGTCTGCAGTGCTGATGGTGTTGGTTGGAGTGCTTGGAGTCCTCAGCGAGCACTAGGAGCATCGATTGGCGGAGGTACTCAGTCGGAGTGCCAGCGGTCCGTCACACATATATAGCTTGACATTGTAATCTGCATGGTTATTGCTTGGATCAGTTAGTGATTATTCATGCATGGCAGACATCATTAAATAACACAGTCTTGCTATCGACTTTGTTGTCGTCTCTTAACTTAAGTGAAGGCACCGTATGTGATATTATGCAACTATAGAGATAATAACATTCTTAAGAGTTAACACTATACGTGTGCTAAAAGTGTAGCTGACAACTCTTATGTTTGGATGACGCTAAACAAGCCACCTATATATAAAAGGTGAGATGAGATGTCCCAGTGATAAGGTGATAATCTGCGAGCTATGTATTAAATAACAAACAAAAAAAAAGGGGTGAAAAAATTATACTCGTGTGTATAGTGCTCGCTAGTTAAGTAGCCAATTAGCCGCTGGGACACAGGGCAGTTATGATGGTATGGTATGTCATTGTAACAAGATGGTGGTGTCCATTGTGAACATTAGGGACTCAGAGGTTAGATGCTCAGCCCTCCGTTTTCAGGGTGTCTCCGGCTCAGCCAATCCCCTCGGGAAGCTTCCAGGACTCCCGGTGGAGTAAACGGTACCTATTTCTTCTCTGGTGGGTTTTGGTGCGTGTCACGTTTGTTGGAGTGGTCGTTTGGGTCGCTCCTTGCGACCTTTGCTTGTTCCGGAGGGCCGTAGGCAGGTCTGTAATGGGAGCTCTTGTATTGGCTGTGTCCAGCTGCCCTCCGCCTCTTCTCCATTGTTTTCAGCTTTGAGTAACGTCGCTTTGTGGGTGGCCATGTGGCCGTGCCTTGCCCAGCGAGTACCTGGGTTTTGGAACCCTGGGGCTTGCGGGTGGAGCCCTCCGGGTGTTTGGGCGGCAGAGCGGGCATACCTCTGTATGGATCCCGTGCTCGGAGTGGATCTGACGTGCAGCCGCTGATGCGTGCCCCTGCCTTTCATGCGGGGTTTGGGAGGAAGGTTTGCGCTGTAGTCGCGTCCAGAAGGCCCTGCAGAGTTGGTCAAACCGGGCTTCGAAGCGTTGCCTCCATTGCTGAGCCCTGGGTCTTCTGTAGCGTGTTCAGGACATGGCTTGGCGGCCAGCTTAGATGCCTCATGCTATTTGACGCCGGACTGCAGTTCCCCCTGTGGTAGGTAAATCTGAGTCTCCAGCGGGGACCGGGATATCCCCTGCCAGTGCATAGGGCGGTGGGGGGAAGCAGGGGAACAGAAGAGCTGCAATGCGGTACCGACCCAGCGTCGGGAGATCGGCCGCCTCTCCCGGCAATCAGGCTGCTGTTCATGCTAGACAAAGGGGGGAGAAGAGTCTGCGCTAAACCGGAGGAGCAGCAACCTATAAGGGAATCCCTCAAGAAACCCTTGTAGAGACAATAAATTACAAAAAGGGGGGAAAGGGCTGCGCTAAAAAATAATAAAAAAATAGAATATAATCAATAGACAAAGTTCGTCTAAAAATGGATAAAAACAGTCTCACTGATATGTGATGGTAGGGTAATATTCCTCAGGTGTTGATCCGTCCGTGTGGTGGCAGATAGTCCATATATGTGGAAATAAAAACAGAGAGCTTCCAATGGTGAAATATAGTACGTCTAGGTGTGATGTATAAATCAAGAGAAAAGTATTCCACTCACATTTGTTGGAGCTTGAACCAGCTCTAGGAGAAGAGGCACTTAGTGGTTTAATCCCCACTATCGGATACACTTTAGTGATGGGTCCGTCTGTCACAACTTTGGATTTCCTTGATGGAGGCTGGAACCTGCTCAGATGTGCGTAGTTCTATGGTGCTTGGGGAGATAGGTCCGCCTCTCCAGTTTGGAATAATGGGTATCCACGAAATATATAAAACAGTAGATAGTGCTCTCAGTATGAACAGTAAAAATATTTTAAGAAAATAAGTTATACTTACAAGAATAGAGCAGACAAATACTGCTCTATTACCACAGCGCTGGTGGAATTATCCCCACCTGAGGATTTCTTTGGACAGGATACACTTCAGGGTTATGGTGTTTTAAGAAATAAAAATTAAAAATAAAAATAAAAAGATATAGTATAAAAACAATATATGAAAGTGCCAGGAGTAGTTGAAATGTATAAAATACAATAAAAATAAGTATAAGATTGGTCCTCGTATAAAAGGCTAACCAAAAATAACTTTTATTGATTTAAAATACACTTTTTAAAACCATTTACGCGTTTCACCTATGAGGTTTTTTCAAAATGGTAAAAGAACAATACACCTGGCAAAGAACAGAATTTATAAGTTCATACAGAAATTGAATTTGGCGCCAAAATTTAGTGCACCAATCATATTCAAGGATTAAAACCGAACGAAAATTACAATAAGAAATGAGTAAAAGACCATATAAATACAAAGATCTAAGCCTGATTAGGCTTGGGTAATACTAATTTTATAAAAACGAAGCTTTTATAAAGTTTTATTTTAAGTTGGTCCCGATCACGTGATCGGGACGTGCCGCGCATGCGCGGACCGTCTGAATAGGCGGATCGCTTAGAGATGTAAACAGAGGGCTCGGTGGCCGGCATGGGAGCGCAATGCTCCATGGGAAATGGAGTCCTGCCGGTCACCGAGCTCTTAAGGGCAGAAAACATAAGGGATTGGATTTTAAACAGTATTACAGCATTCCAATAGAAGTATTTAGCAGAATCCATTTAACAATCAGAATAATAATAAAGCTGCAAATGCTAAAAATACACATACTGAAAATACAAATACAGATATATAAATGTATTATGTAATATATAATCTCTGCAATATAAATGCACTAAAAATAATTTAAAAGATAAGAATTCCATAAAAAAGGTAACAGTAAAAGTGGGTATGGTTATAAAAAATTATGCAGATCACAATCTGCATTAAGTCCATTAGGTGTTAAAGTCTGTAGTTTATAGACCCACTCCATCTCAATTTTACCTAGAATATTTTTTATATCTCCTCCTCTCCAAGGTAATGAGCATTTTTTTATACCCATATATTTTAACATTTTTGGGTCTTTGTTGTGGATTAAAAAATGTTTGGATAAAGAGTGGTTTAAATAACCATTTTTTATGTTCCTACAATGCTCACCTAATCTGATTTTTAAACATCTGGTGGTCATCCCAACGTATTGGAAGCCACACGGGCATTGTAGTAAATAGATAACATTTTTGGTGTTACATGTTATAAATTCTTTTATTTTAAAAGTGGTTTTGGTTTTGTTTGAAGTAAATTCTGTTATTTTTGGTGGCATTGTAGGATCAGCAGTTTTACATACATTACAGTTTTTGCATTTATAAAAGCCTAGAGATTGCGGAAAAAAGGATACAGAGTTATTAGGTTTCGTTTCTTTAGTAAAATTGGTGGTTAAAATAGATTTAAAATTAGGAGCCCCTCTAAAAATTACGCTAGGTTTTTCTGGAATAATCTTGGAAAGTTTTTCATCATGTTCTAAAATGTGCCAATGTTTCCGGATAATCTTTTGTATTTCTTTACTCTTATTATTAAAATTAAAGATAATAGGGAGGGATATAGAGTCGTTTTTACTTTTGAGCTTATACTTTAAAAGCTCATCTCTATTTTTATTTTTTACCTCATTAATATTCTCCAAAAGGGCTTTTTCTGGGTAATCTTTCTCCATAAATTTATTTTTGAGAGTATTAGCTTGTTCTTCAAAATTTTCTAGTTGTGTGCAATTTCTGCGTAGTCTGAG